TCGCAAAAGTTTTGCGTCTTAATTGTTTTTTTCTCCCATGTCCCCTGCGGGGCTCCGTATAATTGTGTAAATTTGATGTCCCCTCAAAATAACTCAACACACAGCCATTAATGTCTGAACTGCTGACAACAAAAGCGAGTAAACCTCTGAGGGGAAATGTCCAAACTGTGCCCAACTAGCCCTTTCCCTTCCCGTTGTCATGTGATTCGCTAGTGTTACAAGGTCACGGGTTTTAATAGGGGGGAGGTTAAACTGTTAAACTTGGTGTTATTGCTCTCACACTCTCATGCTGGTCACTAGAAGTTTAACATGGCACCTCATGGCAAATAATTCTGTGAGGATCTGAAAAAAATAATTATTGTTCTACATAAAGATGGCCTAGACTATGTGGCTAAGACCACTGAAAACTACTACTGCAACTGAAAACAGATAAGTAACACCCTTTGACTCGCTATAACCTGGAGCTGTTCTGTGAACAAGAAATGCAGCTCAGAATAGGAATAGAAATCTTTAACAAGTAAAATAATAAAGTACATCAGCTCCTTTACTGGTAACTCGCAATACACAAGCAGAGTAGTGACTCAGAAAGCTAAAATTAGCTAATAGTAGGCTACCTGAGCTAATGTTTTTGATGCTATTTAGAGAACAAATTTCTAAATTTGTAAGTCAAAAACATCAACCCTGCATTATCAGAACATTTTGAACTTTTGCTATATTTCAGTTAAAGTGTGCATTAAATCTGCATCACTGATTTGTGCCATGTCAGTAAGAATAAAGCAGGCCGGGCGCAGTACAGGAGCAGGAAATGATACTGTACTGTAGAGAGAGACAATTTCAAGTTAAAGTCAAAAAGGAAGGAAAAATACACTAAAAATTCTTCTAAGACATTTCGGTACCAAACTAGAAATAAGGTTAAACCCACACAATGTCCTTTCTGTCAGCAGCACACCTTACCTTTGTGAAGCATGAATGCTATGAATGGTAACAACAACATGGTATTCATTTTCCAAATGATACAGCTCCACATCATAGTATTACCATTTCTCAACATAGCTTACATATTGCATTTGAGACTGTTTGATTTTTTCATTACAGTGATTTAACTACCAAGCAATAAAAGTGCTCAGTTATGTAAAGAAGAAGGCTGAAGTCTGACAAATCACTTAGGGGTCAAATTCGCCGGTCGAATTCGAACCTGCAATTTAAACGATTAAATGCAGAAAAAATGCCAAATGTAGCAAATGTTATTCAAATTAAAAGTCCTCCTATGCAATTTAATATACATGGTCACCTTTTGTCATTCGAAAACATCCATGGTTAGTCAACACAGATTTAAGCTTCTCTTTTTTTTGATTGCACAAGTAAAGGGCTTGGTTATTTTTGTGTATCATCATTGGTTGTTTCTGTATAATGCTATGTGTGGCGCAGAGGTATAAAAGTTCCTAATCTGTAGTTCAGCTTCGACTTGAGGAGGAGGAACTGTTCAACTGAAAAGTTACAACCTCCACGGCTGCATTCTTACACATTTATTGAAAACAGAACTTGAAAAAGGTAAGAATATCTTTAAATATCATTGATAATAAATAAAAGCAGTTTACCTTTGATCTACTAACATACTAAAGCGATTTCCATGTCTCCTTTTTTTTCAAAGGCACAGTAACCTTTAATATTTAAATGTAACCAGTCTAAGGTTTCAGATTTCTAACATGCAGTCTTTATATTAGAAATAAAAGGCAGCACCCAAAGCGGTCAACATTAAAATAGTTTACTTGAATTAAAATGTTTATTTTACTGCTCTGTGCGGTTCTGTTACATTTTTCATGTTTTTTACAGATTTTTGTCACCATTTTATCATCTGCTAACGTCTCTGGTTAGAGTAGGCTACACTCACAGGGATAACATGACACATGAAATCCTGGGCATTCAGAGTCTGAAGCAGAAAGCCTGACTTAACAGGGAAAGTTGATGGCCACTAATGAGATACTCTTTATCTCCAACTTAGACTTTAGGGTTTATCAAGCAAGAAAAGCTTAACTTTGCTGAACTTCCTTAATATTGCACACCTCACTTTTAGAAATAATGGGGAGATGCTGACAATCGGAGCAATGCCAACATCCCAAACACTGGTTGTGAGAACAAATACCCTACCAATACTGATTATTAGGTGAACCTTTAGATGACTTGATAAACTCACGTACCAAATAAAAATAATAATAAAACATGAAGAGGTTTTATTCCATTATAAATGCTGTATTTGGGGATGATGATACTCAGTGTTCAGGAACTGCTTTCCACAACGTATGTTTGTGTTCATGTTTGCATATCAAAATTTTATGTTTGCCCTGCAGTTGAAATGAAGAAGCCTGCTCTCCTCTCTGCAGCCCTGCTGCTGCTGTTTTTTAGTGGGACATCAGCTCAGGGTAAGCTATAAAGCAAAAAGATCACCTTTATTGTTTTTCTGCTTATCTTCGGTAAACTAACTTCACCCTCCTTTGTTATTTAAGGTAACACTAACTTCAGAGTGCAGGTGAATGTGTCACCCAGTGACATTAAGACCTACAACACTTCTACTGCTTATAGAGGCAGCCTCTTCGGTGGACTGACGAGACTGAAATACTCAAACCAAGGCTTCAAGTAAGACCATGATATCAACTATTTTCTTACTAGAAGAAGCCATACCTTTTGTTTTGTTCTCTTAACTTTTAATTAAAATTGAGACCCCGTATATCTGGGTGTGAATTTTTAATTCCAGATGACTAATTGTGCCCTGGAATGTTTGTTGACATCTTAAAATAAAACAAATCTTCATACTTTTTTTCTTACAGTAGACCACAGAAACCTGTATATGTACAGTACAGTCAAAAACCACATAACATCTTTAGCTTTAAGAAATGCCTTCCTTTCATTAATGTTTCATAAATCCTCATGAGTTTTTGAAAGTGTCTGTGCTCTTTTGTGCCGTTACAATAGAGGACCTTCTATAACTCTTCTTTTCAGTTGAATTTTATTTGTATAGCACCAAATCACCACAACATTTGCTCAAGGTACTTTATTTTGTAAGATAAAGACCCTGCAATAACATACAGAAAGTCCCAACAATCACATGGCCTCACACAGGAGGGAGACAGGACAAAAGATGCAAAAGAGCCAGACATTAATAATAACTAATAACTGAATGCAGAGTTCTGTGTAAAAACATAGAGAGTGAAACTAT